GGCCATTATCTCCGTAACCGTTCAACTTTGGACATAGGTGTTTTGGGTTATATCGGCATACTTTAACATAAGGAACACCCTCCCGAAGTTTGGCACATTCCTCCTGGGACACTCTGTATATATTGTAATGTGTTTCATTACTGAAGACGCCGTTCAGATTGTTAATTGGTTTATTTAACAACCAACAAGTATCGGCTACAATTATTTATAACACAGTTGCGGGGTTTCACACTTTATAACCCTATTCGCAATAATCTCTTCACTCTATCTTCAGTAGGCTACACATATTAATTACTATACGGGAGCTATGTAAGTGTCCCTGTATCACACACTCACTGTCTTCGATGGCTGCTATATTTCACGGCGCCACTCCTTAACACACACTAACTTGTTCACTGCTGGTTTGAGAACTAACTTGAGAACTGTGTTCGGCGCCTGATACACTTTAACTGACAACAACAACTGAACTCGGTGACGGCCACATTTCAACTGCTTCGTAGGCAGCGTGGTTCACTTATATAGTCGCAGCGCTTGCCTGTTATGCAATGAGTGCTGCTATTGCCTGGCGCCGTGTTGTCACCGCTGGGAGAGGGGCAGGGTGTTGACTTGCCTATTACCGTAGGGTGACGTCAACGCTACGATGCCGTCACGTACCGCTGGGGAGGGAGAGGTTGCCCTCCATTGCGCAACATGTCACAATATATATTATGAACTTTCTCAGATCTCCTATCACTTTCTCTCTCAATTCTTCTGAGCACCCTGTTCTTAAGCACTCCCAATCTGTGTTCTTTCCTTCAGTCAGAGACCAAGTTCCAAATCCCCATAGAGTAGAAGGTGAAATGAAGGTTCTGTATATTTAAATCATAAGTTTATAGATAGTAGGTCGGTTGATAAATAAAGTTCAACAGCTGATTTTATTTTCAGTTACACCATTGCCTTTCTCTTTGTGAATGAAAACTTTGAAATTAAGCTTGTTAATTGCAGTGGTTTATTAGTCTGTTGTGAGATATGGAGCTTTCTTGTAAAACTGTAGCTGAAATATGTCAAGAAAGAACATTTTTGCTATTGCAGATTGTGTGGGACCCAGATAAGAAGAAGTGGACAAATGTAGATGGAGATGATGATAATGAAAGTAGTGACGTACCGCCACCACCTAAAGACTCGGAACTCCCTGCAGTAACAAAGGGTTTGTTAGCTGCAGGAAGTGAAGGCCCTGCAACTGGGCCATCAGGTTCAAATGTGTACAGATTAAACGGACCAGGGAAAGGTAAAACATACTTTAATAAATCAACAGTTCAGGATGCATAACAATAGTGTTGCTGTAGAATTCAGGTTATGTGGATTTGGGAATTATGTAATTTTCTGTGTAATACATTTCTTACACAACTACAGAAGAGTAAAAAAAAAAAAAGTAAGTAAAGCTATCCCTGTACCAGGCCCTGAAGGTCCATAGGGTTGTGAGATGTTGAAGGTCCCACATTATCTAGACACTTGGCTCAAAGATGGCGGTAAGGTTGTCAGCCTTATGCACCAGCCGCGCTTTACTCCCCAGGAAAATTATTTAATTAATTCCTGGTACTCATTTCTGTTAGAGGCTGAGTAAACCCCAGGGCCTAGTGTGGCTGGAAGGATTAGATCAATTGAAAAAAATCCAGTGACTTCATTGGGACTTGAACCTGCAACCTTCAGAAGAAGTAAAGATATTTAAATTGGAAAATCTGGGGATTTGAACTATTTTAGTTTATGTTGTGTAGCTTTCTGCAGCATTGTAATTCAGAATTCATGTATAATTTTAGACAAATTTGCATGTGTGGCCAAATATGCACATTCATTACATTGAGATATATTTGGGCACAGTTGTTGATATATGGTGTATAACACAAAAGTCCAAAAGAAATCACAAGTTTGTGAAACAAACAGTAATAGATGTTACATAATAACATGTGAGAGAGAACTTATAATTCTGTGGAGAATGACTTGCCTTGAATCAAAATTAATTTCACGGATGGAAGATATATGTAATTGAGGATTCTGATATCATTGTATGCTGTTCTGTAATATAGCGTGATGTATATGTGTCTTATTATAGACAGGGAATGGATTTGTTGACAACTTAAACACACCACTAGGAGCTACAAGCACTTACAATGCTATTACAATTTCCACACTTCACAAATGACCACAGCACCTGCTGACCGTTTTCCAGCCTGCTGTGTCTTCACCAGCTGTTCCCTAGCAACTGCTTCCAACAGTGGAGATCATTAAACTTCACGTGCTGAGGTTGTCTTGTCACAGCTGCCCACGTAGAACTTGTGTCGTCTGTCAATTCAACCACAGTGTCATCTCTTCTTAGCCTCCCTTGCAGAGCTGAACTGGAGTGGTTGCTCTAATTCTCTTCTTTATAACTCCTAGGCATGGACTATGTAGGCAACACCCCATTTCCTCCATTGCATGCCTAACAGTTGCCATGGGAAAATGTTTACTGAGCCATTTCCCAGAAGTGGGTCTGTTATAATCACCCATCTCATGATTGTTGCGTAGCAACAGTTATACACATTACAGTAGTAATACACTTCTGTTGTTATGTTGGCAGGACGCAAGCCGAGGTATGTGAATGTATTGGAAGGAAGCAAAACCACTGGCCCATCTCTCCCTGCACCAGATCTTTTTCCACCAATAATACCATCACAGACATCAGTGAATTACTTTGTACCCTCCCCAGGTGAGTGAACCATGTTTCACATTTTGCTGTAGAGGCTTAGAATTGAATTGCCATTACTTCTTTTTCTTGATTGATTAATTGATTATTTATGTAATGCCCTTTCAAACAAGTTTTTGTAAGACTTTTACTGTTGCATACTGCCAGAAAATAAAATACTTTATTCTTTACTTATTTGAGTAATAAAACTAATCTTTGTTGTGTTATGAATCTGTGCTTTGCAGTTTGAACACAATTATTTCCATGATGTGGAGTACATTTCTATCATGTTGTCCTCCATCTATTTCTCAACATAATCTCCATGTACATCGAGGCACTTGTCCCATCATTTCACAAGCCCCTGAAAATCAGCAGCATAAAATTCTTTGGGCTGCTGTTGGAACCAGGAAGCTTGTGAAACAATGGGGCAAGTGCTTCAGTGTACAGGGAGATTATTTTGAGAAATAAAAGCATTTTTCAAATCAGTACTCTTATTTGTTTAAGTTCTATATCCATTTGTAACTTACTTATTGACTTACCTACGTAGAATTACAGAACCCTTTTATATCAGAGCAAGGGAAGAACCAGACTTTATGGAAAATGTTTTCATGTTGCAGTAGAAAGCAGTGATGCTCGAACAGATTTCCTGACGCCAGCTACAAGCAGCATTCCTGAGCAGTCAGTTGAACAGTCACAAGTAAGTACAGCATAATGGAGAACTGTCACTGTTAAAGTGAATTTCAACACTTCAGAGTCAGTTAATTTTATATTAGAGGTAAAATTTTAGTCTCTTTTCAGGCTGTTCTCTAAAACGTATCCCAAGCTCTTAGCCTATAGCCCCCTTGATTTGAATAAAGATGTTTGAGCCCCCCTTCCGCCTAATCTACAGAAGGATTGACTTAAAATGTGGGGTTATGGCTCTAATTTTTGGAACACTGAATTGAAACCCTTTTGTCTTATTTAAATGTCAAAGTCGTGTAATTATTTTCCTGTAGTGTATCCATTTAAAAATTACTTCTGAAGTATGCAAGACTTTCCTCTGTTTCTACAGCCTCACCATTCCCAAATATATGTTGCAGTATTATTATTCTGTTCATCTTCAGTAACCCATGTTATATCTTACAGGGTCTTATGTCTGCCATGTTTGAATTGCTGGTTGTAGAAAATTAAAAAAATATGAGGGTAGGGTGGTTTCAGGTGGCATAATGTTCATATCAGATTTTCATGAAATTTGGTAATTTGATTTCTACAGGGATTTGTGCATGTGTAACACAGATTCCATAAGCATATAATTTTTCCTTAAGAAAGCAGCATAGGCTAAAGAGAATTGATACCAGATATAAAGAGTTGCCATCTAACAAACAAAACAAAAACTCTGTAGCCTGTAGTCTGCAAGCGGACTATAAGGGGCAGTCAAATGTAAACGGGTCACCACGCATAACTCACACGGCGTGCAAGTTGGTAACACTGGAATTTGCTTATGGTATGAACATCTGGTGGGGACTTGGGAAAGCACAGTGACGTGCTCTTGCACACTAGTCATTTCTTTATTGTGCTGGAAGTAAGGTTAGCGCTACATGTGGTCCCCCAACATCAGTAATGGAGGTGAGTAAAGAAGAACAGTGAAGTGTAGTGCGCTTTTTGACTGCTGAAGGAGTAGGAGGAGGAGAAATTCATCGTCATCATTTTTATTGTTTATGGTGAACACAGCATGACATGTTCACTTGTGCTGGTGTGGCATAAGAGATTCTGAGAAGGACGTGTGTCACTGCAGGATGATGCTCGCCCAGGACAGGCTCATCGTGTCATCACTCCTGAAGTTATTGCTTTGTTGGATAGTCATATCCGGGCAAACTGACGGATCACCGTGGAAGAAATTAGTCTTTTGATGGGAATAAATCATGGTTCTGTACACGCCATCGTGACAGAACACCTGCTGTACCGCAAAATCTGCGCGCAATGGGTTCCACATCAACTGATGGAGGAACTGAAGACTCAGAGAATGGCTGCATCACTGGGTCACTTGCAATGATACCATGAGGAAGAGTATGCTTTTCTGCCCCGTATTGCCACTGGGGATGAAACTTGGTGCCACCATTTTGAACCTGAGAGCAAGCAGCAGAGCCTACAGTGGAAACACGTGAATTCTCCCCCACTGAAGAAATCCAAAGCTGTACACACAAGTTCCGGTAAAGTGATGATGACCTTCTTCGACTGCAAGGGCCCTCTGCCTGTCGAATTTCTCGAGCATGGGGCCACAATCCGCACTGAGCTATGAAGACACTGCAGAAACTGAGATGTGCCATAAAGTCAAAACGCCCTGGAATGCTATCGAACGGCATTACCCTTCTTCATGATAATGCGCGCCCCCCACTGCCAACTGTGAGGAATGCGCTACAGAGATTTGGTTGGGAAGTGCTTCAGCATCCCCCCTAAAGCCCAGATCTCTCCCCATGTGATTTTCACATTTTTGGAGACCTGAAGAGAGACATTCATGGACATTGGTTTTCATTGGACAAAGGCGTGTGTAGCTGGGTAAATATGTGGTTCTGTAGACAGCCCACAAGCTTTTTCAAGGATGGGATTGACCATCTTATCTCCCAGTGGGATAAATGTAGTAACAGTTTTGGAGATTACTTTTGAGGTAAGAAATGTTCTTTAATATGTTTTGACTTTTGACTCGTTTTCATTTGACTGCCCCTCATATACCGACCGAGCGACCGCCACTTGTTGGTGAAGTTAGTGCCAACTTTTGCGCATAGAGTGTGTTGTATGGTCAGCGCAACGGATCCCCACAGTCGTTAATCTCGGTTTTCTAGACCGGAAAAGAGTTGCCATCATATTTACAAATTGGTCTGTTGACTTAATGTCATAGGTTTGTTTTTAAATTGACAAATTAAGCACAGAATTCAGAATTTATTTTTTGATATGGAGGGCTCTGTTATGAGAGCCAGAAGGCACTGAGTAGTTCCAGAACACAGTAGCCATAATCAGAAGATATTTTAAAAAAAAATATGCTTGATGTTGAAAAGCCCTTGTGCATGATCTTCTCTTCGGTTTCTGGATCTCAGTTGTCAACCAAATTTGATATCATCTTTCAAACCAGTCTCATCTGGTGTAGAGTTGGGATTCTGGAAACCCAGACCTGACTTTAGGTATGATAGATTTTTGTGAATAATATACCAATCTGCCAAAGCAGGGACTTCGATGCTTGGATTTTCCATTAGCAGTTTCTGCTTTGTCACAAATATCTTAGTCAGAAGCTTCAATAGGGATTCCAGATCTGGGGTTACATTTCATTAATTACATTTACCATATGAACTGTTTCATTTGGAATTTGTCCGTGTAGTAAGTAGGTAAAAACTATTCATAGAAATTGGACATATGGTCAGAAATTTGCTTAATAGTTCTGCATTTTTTTCCCCCTTAATTTAATAACTGAGCAGTGTTCAAATGGTGCTGAATAATATCACTACAGCAGCAGAGGCTGTGATCAGTGTTGTCATTATTCTCAATGTAGGTGAGCCACTAATCTGGCACTTGGGGCAGATGCACTCATGAGGCATTTTGCTAAATGTGTTAGCATGCATGCATTTGTCTTTGTCACTTTTATGCTCAGAAATGTAAATTCAGTGGCCTTTGTGAGTGTGACTTATCATTAAAAAATAACATTTTAAGAAGTCATTGCCTTATATCTGAGACATTTTGTTATGTTTGTTATATAGATAATGATTTTGTTTGAATTCAGATGATAATTATTTAAAATTATAGACATAATTTGCTGTCAGTTCTATGTTGAATGTAATTCATGTTCAACACCTTCTGTAAACATATAAATTCTACGCTTTTCCATAAGTACCCTCTGTTACTGGAAATCATTCAGATTTGTGAAGTCTTTGGGTTCTAATTTATCGAAACGTCATGGTTTCCATTGTGTGCTGTTTATTTTGGAATGGCTTTTTGGCTTCTGCTCATGCCTGTCACTGGATTAATGGTGCATGGTGGCACATGGAATGGTTTTTTGGTTGTGGTATTAGCAAATAGGCCATATGATCATGTAAAATTATTTTATGCAATTCCTGACATGTATTAACTAAAATTATGTTTTATAAAATGCAATAGTTATAAGTTTCAGATTTCATAATAAAATTTGACTACCTGTCATCTGCTCTTACATAAATTGTTGAGATATGGCCTAAGTTGCTTTGTGTGTGTGTTGACTGGGGCTGTTGTGTTGCTTGCACAGTTGTCTAGGTGGAGTTCCACTAGTTCTCTCTCCAGGGAAGTGCAGAAGTACACCATGAGGGGGCAGCAGAATAAACCTTCTCAGGTAAGATCAAGCATGCTCAGTTTTTCGTTCCTTCTGCTCCATCTTTTACATACCATATTACCTGGTCTGAATAACCCAGCATAAACAGAAATTATCACATATGCAAGATACGAGATTTTCATGATGGTGTAGATTCATATTGTGTTCTTCTAGTTTATGACACCATATACAAGTAATCTGGTAGGTGGATACCATTGTTTTTGAAGAACGTTGATGGCCATGTTTGTATTGACATTGATAAGCAATGAGTTTTTTTTTAATACGAGTAATGTAATATTTATGATGGCTTTATTTTTTTCAGGGTGCAGTGGCATGTGGAACACCAATGACGGATCCTGCTAGCTTCGTACAAAATGCAGGTGTAGGCACATCATCCAACACCATGAAACGCTACCCCAATTGATAATTGTGTGTTAATAATTACAATTCACGTTATAGGTAATTAAACTTGTGGGAGGATGGGTAGGAATTTCATGTTCATTGCAAGATGGACAGTGAAAGGAAACAGAGATATTGTGTTTAACAGATAAGTTTCAGTACACCCAGTTTTGTTTTTATTCTTGATGTAAATATTCAGTTTTGAGTCTCATATTGATAAAAGTAAAACAAACTCCGTGATTTCAGTCCATAAGCGAACTATACCGACCGAGCGACCGCCTCTTTTCGGTGAAGTTTAGTGCCAACTTTTGCGGATAGAGGGTGTCGCTTGGTCAGTGCAATGAAATTGATAAATGTAAAAGGTATGAATAATATATTTTGCATTAAGAAAACTTTGTTCCGTGTTGTTGATATTTACCACTTTACAGAGTATAGTTGGGAGAGATTTCTCAGTTGCAGGGAGTTAGTTTTGCATTATGAATAACCCTTTGTAATCCAGTGCCAGGCAGACCCCCAGTTCATACTTCATGATATTCTTGGACCACAAAGGGTTAGATGTCAAATGAATGCTATACTTCAATTTTGTCTTTATGATTTTCATGAAGCTGTCAGATCACATTATCAGAATTGTTTGTAATCTGAGAAAATAAAACAGCCATGCCATGCTGTGCCATGTCTTGCAGCAGGGCAAGAAAAAAGCAACTGAGGTGTTTAACTTGGACAGATGTAATTTTATGAAGCTGCAACTACTTTTTATTTTTGAAGTTGACACTACATTGTTGTTCCTGTGGCGTATATAGCCTGGATATGGACCAAGAGGGTGTATTTCATATTGTCACATGTGAGGGGCTTGCGTGACTAATAATAATGGGTTCTGGATTAGATGATTGGATTTATTGGCACTTCTTTACGATTACAATCAATTATGACAGCTCACAGTCGATGACTGTCTATGACTTGCTCCTTTTCTTACTGGACCATGGCTGTTTGCTCTTCTACTGCAACGAATGACGAATCACTGCTCATACATTGAACTGCTACTGAATGCCATATGAAGAATCTCTTGTGGCTGAAATCTGCTTTACCAAACTAACTTCCAGGCAGTCTGAATATAGATCACCATATCAAATGGTTTGCTTGTTCTGTTATATGTTTTGTCCGTTGCTATGAAGTGTAGCAACCTGCTACTAAGCAGTGGAGGTCCTATTGTTGACTGCGTTACCTCAAGAATGTGTTTATTGAAGTGTTGCCTAGCAAATGGTCATATTCTGTCACTATATTGTTAAACGCGTGATTTTCTGACTCAAGATGTATTCATGCTAACTCTAGTTTTATTGCCTGATTGAAGTATGACATATTGAAAGATCACAATTACATGGCTGTCTCTGCTCCTATATTCTGATATATTTCAATTAACAGTCTCAAATATTGTGCACTTTTGGCCTTTATGGTTTCTGAAAGCAAATTTGTTCACATTAATACTAGAATGTGGGATTGTTGTGTGTTGTAAACATTCTCCCCAGTCTGTATATTATGTAATTACATTCCCACACAAGTGTATGAACATTACCTGTAAATTAATTTATTCAGCATGTTATATGTAAGATGAGTTTCTGCTTTTGAATTACATACAAATATTATTGGGCCTAGTTTACCATCATTGATGTGTTGACCCTGAGAGAGGAGGATAATCTTAATGAGATGTTGTGTAATATAGCTCCAAACCAACAAAGATTGAAAAATATCAATGACATTGAAGAGAGTTTTAAGATATTGTCACCATGCGGTTATATGTTCTTGTTATGTCTGAAGTGTTTTATTTGAGTCCTTAATGGATTGTGCAAATTGGTCAGGACTGGAAGGCAGAGAAACTAACTTCAGATGACTGACTTTGGCAGTCAGTGGTATGGAAATTTGCTGTGAATAATGAGTGAGAATTTGTGTTACTTCAGCAGTATGTGTATATATATTCATGCTTGAATGCATGTTTTGAATATGTTTTATTGAGTGAGTGACTCTTGTGGTACTTTTGTCTTTATTCAGCTTTCTTTTATCCTTCTTTAATGCATGTAAAATAAGAACATCAATAGGTCGCAGTTCAGTTCCTTTTAAATGATGTGTGGATCCTTAAAACCATATCATTGCTAAATATTTTGGTACAGTTTTATGATACAAAGAGGTATGAAATTCGTACCATTATCAGACAGTGAAATTCCAATAAAGAGAATTTATTTTGCAGTATATAAGACAGTTCAGACATTAGATACTTATATAATCATAAAACAAGGAAGAGGTTTTTGCCCATTTGTGTGATTGTGACTCTAAATATCAACATCATGTGCCTGTGTGCAGTCTCATGAGATATCGTTGTACATAAAAGTGTAATTATATTAATAATTTGTCAGTATCTAGCATCTGTTAAACTCTATATATATGGTAAACTGGGGGAAAAGAATCCATTAATTATGTATGTTGGAAAGTTGAGAGTGTAATTATGAATTACTTCACTTGTTCATACAAATATACATTTCATAGTATTTGTAGTGTATTGCATTTGGTATTTTTTGTCATGGAACTTAAAGAAGAGTTAGTGTGTAAACTTCATTCAAATTTTATTTTCCTACAGTACAAATTACTGATACACATTTTTCAGCAGTTTCTGCTGTTGTGCCATTTTCAGCAGAGGATCATTCATGTTCTTTTAAAATGTGATTCTACAGAGTTTTGTTTGGGTAATATTATAACATTGATTCTTTTTTGCTGTAGTAATTTAAGAGAGGAAGCAGATTTAGTACTATTTTTAGTTTTGTGTTAGCTTGATTGTCTCCAGAACAGTGATAGTCAAGCCATCAGAAACAAATGCACTTGTGGATTTTTCTAAATTCATTTTAAAGCACAGCCTCTCATAGTTTTCTGTTATCATGTGGATTACATAGTATAGACAGTTTCAGAGTACATTTGGCATAACTATATCCCTAATTATCAGGCATGTGTTTTTCATGTTAAATTGAGGACTGGGTATCACAATGTTACAGTAACACAACTACTTATCTACTCATGTTGTTAAAAATTGTTACTCTCAAACGGGATAAATGATGAATGAAAATTTAGTTGAATGCTGAAGTTCCTCACTAGTTTTTAGTACTATTCAGTTTATCACACTTATCAGACTCTCCTCCTTTCACAAAAATTTACCTTCCTTGACTACATGACCTGTAGCACCTTGCCATTTGTCTGCCATTACTCTGACACTGCTGAGTTGACAAGACTGCATGCATCATGAAGCTTGAAGGTTTGTTGTTCCTGGCTAAATGTTGTCTTGCAATGAGGCAGTGGATAATGATTCCTTGTTTACTGAGGAAAGTATCAATAAGGCATGGACATTGTTTCCATAAATTAAACTGTGTTATTAATGGATCTTGGAGAGAGAGGATGGGATGGTATGGATTGGATTGATCTTGTTCAGGATAGGGACCAGTGGGGGCTCTTGTGGACATGATATCACAACTACTGCCTGTATGTCAATACTTCTATTGCGGCTGCAACCTCTCACTTGTCCTTGGCCGTGGCTGGACCTCAACTGTCCCGTTCGTACATGTCTCTAGCTCTCTTGTATAGGCATTATGTGGACCTGATACCAGACACCATTTCTCACGGTTCTGTTTCTACTGTTTTGACAGTCCGCTGTTGCGCAACAAACCTTCGGTTCATCTCCAGGGAAACACGTTCATTGTTTCAGCATTCTCTACGCAACAGGCCACTGTTATTGTGTTACCATGGAAGTACCTACTCCAAATACGTTACAATAATTTATAATGGTATATGTATGGCAGGGCCATTTTGTTTATGCAGAAATATCTTTCTTCCAGAACTGGAAGACATACAGTGATATGTATTTGTAATGCAGTATACCCTTACTGTAGTGCTTTTGCAACTGATGCTTGAGAGCAGTTTTCTGTCATCCATTTATTTATGTTAGGACTCAGCATACTGATTAAAATGTGTTTAAATGAAACATATAATACACTATGTACAGGTAAACATTTGTCTGATAAATTTCATATCCAGAATAGTCTAAAACAAGGAGATGCTTTATCGCCACTCATTTCCAACTCTGCTTTAGAATATGCCATTAAGAAGGTCCAGGAAAACCAGGTGGGACTGAAATTAAACGAGACACATCAGCTGTTGGTCTATGCTGATGATGTGAATCTACTGGGTGATAATATAGATACCATAAAGAAAAACATGCAAACTTTAATTGACGCAAGTAAGGAAGTTGGTCTAGAAGTAAACACGGAAAAAACTAAATATATGTTGCTGTCTTGTCACCAAAATGTAGGGCAGAATCATGACATAAAAATAGGAAGCAGATGTTTTGAAAATGTGGCACAGTTCAGATATTTGGGAACAGCGGTAACAGATCAAACCCTGATTCAGGAGGAAATTAAGAGATTGAACTCTGGTAATGCTTGCTACCATTCAGTCCAGAACCTTTTGTCTTCTCGTCTGCTGTCCAGAAACATCAAAATTAGAATATACAAAACTATAATTTTGCCTGTGGTTCTGTATGGGTGTGAAACTTTGTCCGTGACATTAAGGGAGGAACATAGACTGAAGGTGTTTGAGAACAGGGTGTTGAGAATATTTGGACCGAAGAGAGATGAAATAACAGGAGGTTGGAGAAAACTGCACAGTGAGGTGCTTCATGACTTGTACTCTTCTCCAAGTACAATTAGAATGATCAAGTCAAGGAGGATGAAGCGGGCAGAGCATGTAGCACAAATGGGGGAGACGAATGCATATAGGATATTGGTGGGAATGTCAGAAGGAAAGTGACCAGTGGGAAGACCCAGGCATAGGTGGGTGATCAATATTAAAATGGATCTTAGATAGGATGGGATGGATTGGATTGATCTGGCTCAGTATAGGGGCCAAGGGAGAGCTCTTATGAACACAGTAATGAACCTTTGGGTTTCATAAAATGCTGGGAAATTCTTGAGTAGCTGCAGATTTGGTGACTCCTTGAGAAGGGCTCAGCTCCATGAGTGAGTGAGTGGGTGAGTGAGTGAGTGAGAGAGAGTAAGTAAGGACTCAACATACACTGAACAGGCAGTAGTGAAACCCACTTCTGATACCAGTGATGGGCTTATGGTCTTTTGTGTTGGTAGTTCTCAAAGGAATATGGCACACAAAAGACATTACTTTCTTTCATCTTCATATGAAGTTGAGAATGCATCCACACATTGAAAGTTTATACATGCAATTCAAGTACTGCAGTGCTCTGTTCAGTAACAG